TATCAAGTCATGACAGCACAAGCTCAGCCTGACCTCCAGGAGACACGGTAGCCAGATGAAAATTGTGAAAGGAGGAGAGTTCTCCTTTTATTGAGTTAACTTGTAGGTTTTCAGTGTAGAGAAAGCACACACTGATGTGCAAGAGGCTTAATTAGAATAAATCAACCACTGTTAAATCTGAACAGAAAGTTCAGTGAACAGAAGTTCAGCACTTGGAGGAGTTTTGATGACAATAGAAAATCATTTAAATACACTGCTACTCACCCAAAACGTTTCAAAAATGCCTGTGTCCACAAAAAGTACTAAGGACTACCCAAAATATGTCACTTAAGTGTGTCTTCACCTTGATGGTAGGAGGACAGCCTGCCATCTGCGCTGTGAGTAGCATCCCAGTACCCCCAGTAAGCTGGTAACGTGCAAGGGTTTGTGTCCCATGGCTGCGCGTGCGTTGGTGAGCTCCGCCCGCTGCTGTTCTCGGTGAATTTTGAGAGGGTTGCCTGCTCTGTGGGGCGTGTGAGGAGCATTGAAATACTGCAATAAAACTTGGAGATGCTTCAATGCCCTTTGAAACGTGAACAGGTGAAGGAGCAATGTGGAAGATACTCACCACTTCGATCTGGTCGGAAATATCCCCTAAATTGATGTGTGAGGTCTTGCACGGCCACCAGGCAAGCGGGCTGCAGACGTCGATGCAAGCTGGACTGAGCTCTTCAGCACGGGCGTGGCTGAGGGCTCCTGTGTCCCGCACGTGGGGGATGCGTCACTGTGATCCAAGGTGTGTGTAAGTACCGCCAGTGGGCTACACTGGGAAGCGCTGGGTTTTGTGCCTGCAGGTGGCAAAGCACCTCTACGAAAATTTGACCAGAATTCTATTCGTGATCGTGTGTTTTATGACGTGGCGCTACTTAAGTTTGCGCGCGCTGTGTTTGTCGTACGACGGAGAAGGTCCTTGTCAAGATGTTGTGACAGCAACGTGGAAAATACAGGTCGGAGGAGGTCGGGGTCCTTTGCAGGGCTGTTTGTTGAAAAGAAGTTCAGAGCTGTGAATAAATAGAGCTGCTTGTTGTGGGATTTCTCCTGTGCTCAGATAAACAATATCTTGTGTTTGGTTTTGTCAATCGGCAGAATAATTTCGGGTACCTGACTTGCCATCTAGGGCGCACCGCGCACCTTGCCTTGTTAGCTGGCTTCTGTGGAGCGAGAAAATAGTGTTTTAATCAGGCTTTTCTTCGTGGGCCATTTTACTATTTAGGTCCTACTTGCAAAAGAACTGGTCCAGGGATGAAGAAAATCAAAGTTTGGGAGAGAGTGTGGAGGAAGGATCACGGGACAGTTGCTGATGTCCATACCCTGCTGTTGCTTCCCTTTTTTTTTTTTTTTAAAACAAACAAAGAAAAAAAAAGGGTTTTTTTGTTGGTTTTGTTGTTGACGCATATGGAAAGTGGGAACATCATAGCCCTGAAGGAACCGGTGATAATTTCCAGAAAGAGCCGTTCTGATGGCTGGGCCAGCAGCAGAGGGAATGAAGTTGGGAAGAACCCATGAGTCAGGCCGGGTGGGTGGCAGGGGAAGCACGAGGGGTTGCCACCATCCTCCTGGCGATAACCCTCCTCTCTTGTCAAGCTGAAAGTCACTGTTTCATTGTATTGCTGGAAAAATACCCTCGGGATGGTCTTTTTTGTGTGGCTGCGATCAGAAAGCCCTGTGGTTTTGGACCACAGCTCTCTTTGTGTTGGAGCAGTGGAAAATTTTCCCTGGCAGTGGCTGCAGTAGAGGTCTCTGCTTTAGAGGACATCTGCCTCTTCTGCGTGCATTTACTCATAGGTTTCAGTGGTCAATTTTTGAAGCAGCACCGGTGAAAAAAATACTTCAGGTCTGTCTTTTAGTCTCCCCTTGAAGTCCCCCTTAATATGTAGACAGTTGACTTGGCCAAAGATCTTTCAGCCTGTGAGTCTACAGCGGCCTGAGCCTGGTTGTAACTTTCTCTTAAAATCTTTGGGCTGCATTTATCAAATGGCTGATGCAGATACGGGAGAAAACAGAGGTAACAAATGGAACTGGTTAAAACCACATGGTGCCTTACACACGGGGCTCTGCAGAGGTGAAGCCACTGGTGGGCTGCTGCAAGGTTTTGAAAACAGATGGGCCCGTGTGTAAGGAAGAAAGGACTGTTTGTGGGTTCTGACCTAATTTCCTTGTGAAATGGTAGGAGGAGAGGTGAGAGCTTGATGCAGAGAATTTCGTCAGTCGTTGCAGGGGTGCTCTGTCCTTACCTAAAGAAATGTAGACGTTAGTCTGGCAGGAGGTCGAACTTCTCCGGGGTCGGATTGAGGCTTTCTGTGTTTGTCCAGGAATCAATTTTCCAAAGACACCCCAAAAATGTGGTGTGAGGTACGTGGGTTCTTCTGAAAGGAAGAGACGGGTGATTTCTGTGTTGTGTAGTGAACTGAGGGAAATTTTTATGCCCTCGTGACTCAAACTCATTGTTTTTCCCACTTGTGTCACGGGTCTTCACACAGAGCCAGGGATAAGAACACCAAACCCTGAGTCTTGGAAGATTCCGAGATACTGAGTCTGAAATTTCTAAGCTTCACAAGTGGGCTAAAGTGGCTCCTTTTTGCCTGTGAGGGGCAAAAATGGGCTTTTTTGTGTGTTTGTTCCCTTGTCAGACCTTGGTTTCTGTAACAGAGTGCGGTATTGCCAAATAATGTAAATTGTTAGGCTGTTTCTGGCGGTGCACGTTCATCCAGACACTCCTCCTAATAGTGATTTTCTGAAACCCTGTCAAGTGGTGGTTTCTGATTACGATTCTGTCACTCTTTTTATCTTTATGTACCACTTAAATGTCAAGTTCCCTGCGTTTTATTATTGCCTTCCCTTTCTTTGTACTATTGTGTTGACTTAAGATTCCTTCTTTCCTTCTGTGCCCTTAATGCACCTGTGGCTCTGAAGGAACTTTTTCTGTGCCCTAATACCCTGCTTGAGCATCCAGAGAGTTTCCAGCTGCTCCCACGATAAAAAACCAACACTCAAGTGGTTTTGCAGCGATCAGTTCTGGACAGTCTGTTTATCCGTATGAGCTCTTTTCTGTAATACTGCAGGTGTTGGGGACTCGTACGGATTTACTGTAATCTTGTGCTTTCATGGTATTTTTGTGTCGAGGCTTGTGGCAAGGTCTCTTCAAAAAGCCTTTGCTGCAAGTAAACAAGGAGAGTTTAGGGAAGCGTGAATGTGGGAGGTGTCAGGAGAATCACTGCTGCAGCTCGCAGAGGCCGCTGTAGGAATGGTGAAGAATTCACTAAAAGTGTGTAAACGTCGTTTAAAAAGATAAGAAACCCCACACCAGCAGCAACAAAAATAACCTTCCTTTTGGACGAACGGTGAGGTTTCTCAACAGGGTGAATGCAGGAGGCTGAGGAAGGCTGGTGTAACGAAGGGGAAACTGGGGGGAGTCCGGACCCCCGGGGAACCGGCGTGGGCTGCTGCCTCGGGTGGCTCCTTCGGCCGTAACTGAGGAAGGATCGACCTCGTTCTGTGTCCTGTGCCGTGGGCGAGAACTTCCAGGTGTGGTTCCCGCTTAGCGAGGTCTCTGCCACCGCTGTTACACTAACTTGGGTTTATTCGCCTGCTTGGAAGGAAAACCAGGTGGCAGGGTTGTGTGTTGCTTGCTGAGGGCTAAGGCTGAGAGTTTTGCTTTCTTAAATAAACCACGTTGGGTTCTTGATGATTTTAATGTGTTATGGATTGAATTTTTTGGGTACAATTAAAAGGTTAGAGAAACATAATGAAACTGAAATGTAAGGAGTCGTGTACGTAAAACTGCTGTTAACAGAAGGATGAGGCTCACAAATTTATACTAGATGTAACAAGTATTTTTTTAATCTCCATTCTGAGTGTTTGTTGCAAGTATCATCATTCCTACTTATTCTTATATTCATATGTGATATGATAGATATATTTTCTATAATATAAGGCGCAGAAGATGCTGCAGTTTGCACTGTCCCCTCCTGCCTTTCTCCCTCTGTCCCGCGCAGCGTGTGCTTCGGTACAGCCAGCAGCAGCGCTTTGGGCTGACAAATGGGATGTGTTTAAAACACACGTCCTGTCCCTGGAATCAATAAAAATCTCGCCCAAGGGTGGCGTTCTTGGGTGATCTCCGTCTGGCTGAGAAGCAGCAGATGCACATAAGGGTCCTGCAACCTTCTGAAGGGGCTTCAACTTCCCCTCCATACCTTGTGCCCGTTAAACTTACTCTGACTACAAGTAAACTCGTTGCTTAACCAGTCATTCCCGCAAAATATTCTTGATATTCTCAGTGGCAGGTAGTTCTGGGGGGGGGGGGGAAAGAAAAAAAAAACCAAAACAAAAATTGAACTTTCAATTTCAGCTCTGCTTGTATTGAATAATTTGTGGTGCTGTTAGTAAGTACAAGCAGATCATGGCACAGAACGACAGCTTTTTGATGCACCAGGCATGGTTTCTGTACCAGATTAGGCAATCCGTGTCTGTAATCCTTCACGTTTGCTCTGTTCGGGGGGGGGGGAAAGAAAAAAAAAACCAAAACAAAAATTGAACTTTCAATTTCAGCTCTGCTTGTATTGAATAATTTGTGGTGCTGTTAGTAAGTACAAGCAGATCATGGCACAGAACGACAGCTTTTTGATGCACCAGGCATGGTTTCTGTACCAGATTAGGCAATCCGTGTCTGTAATCCTTCACGTTTGCTCTGTTCAATCCCCAGACTCCACAGAGGAGAACAATTTACACAAGGACCTCCTGACTTCCATGCTGATTCTGCTCCTGGTCTTCATCATTTTCATTCTGTTGGCTGCCTATTTTTTCAGGTAGGTCTGTGCGGAGCGCCGCGTGCAGAACTAGCTCGCTCTTGTTTCGATATGATCTAACGAGGAAATGAAATGAGTACTTAATGGTGAGGCAGGAGCCTGCATCACAGCAGAGAGGAGGGTGCCGCGGCGGCGGCGGTGGCTCTCGCTGTGAAGATGAACAGAAAGAGTTTCTCCAGAATTACATGGTGGGTAAAGACTGGCTTGGGAAAACGCTCGTTACGTTTCAGCGTGTTTACTCAGGTTAACGTGATGCCTGTATTGCAGGTTCAGAAGACATAGGAAAGCTGTTGTGAACTCCGGGGACAAGAAGATGCCAAATGGGATCTTAGAAGAACAAGGTATGGGGGGGATTTGCTTTCCTTCTCGGTGTGAGTTTTGTCTGTGTGCGCACACGCCTGTTTGCTGGTTAAGAATCCAGTTGCATTTGCTTTTTATTCATATTAGAAGTTCTAGGATTGTGATTAAAGAGAAAATAGTTTGGAAAAAAAAGGTCCATATTCAAGTATGTAAAGTATATCTTAACTTTGAGGGTTTGGTTTTAAATAATTTTCACTTTAAGTGTCAATACAGCAAACGTAAATGTTTCTCGTGCTCTTTATGTATGATTTATTAGGATGCCAGCTAAAAGCCAGGTTTCTGACATTGTGATCTTTGTATTTAGAGAAAGAATTGCAGTGTTTCTTCTTAAAAGGGGGGAAAAAAAGGTCCTTAACTCTTTGTGAAATGACTGGCTCGTTCTTAAACGCAAAGAGAAACAAGGAAGGGGATGAGAGAGGGCAGCTTTGTCAGCCGGCGGCACTAAACCAAAACCCACTCAGGAGTTGAAAATGTTTTCCGCTGGCTTTTTCAGTGTGCTGGCTTTATTTCCGTGAGCGGGGAGCCCTTCGGGTCTCTGTGGCATTCAGCTCACACCGAGCAGCCGCGGAGGGGCCGTCCGTTTCTTGCCGATAAATTGTTTCAGCCATAACAAAGAGAAAAACTTAACGATAAAAAGAACGACGCCTCTGTGGCCGTTCCACGTCGCTGCGTGTGAACTGACGGGAGGGTCAGCCGCCACGGTGGCAGTCAGAGAGAAAGTCAAACCTCTAAATATACCCGTCGGCTTCCTCTTCGGTCGGTGCTTGTGCACGGGAACCCCCGCCAGCGCGGTTTGGCGA